TCTCTACGCCTTTATCTTCTGGTCCCTAGGGTCAGCTGACTCCGGGCCAGAGGAAATTTACCGATTGCCAAGGTTTGATGCATGGGCAGTCAAGACCTCTTATTTTTTTGGGGTACTGGCCCGTGGTACCAGCCAATGTTTACTCAAACAAATATAATATATGATATCAATGGTATTAATAAGAAATTCATCCCCGTGGGGCACATGCATAAATATCACCTTAATAACACCAGAATGTGTGTGTGTGTGTGTGTGTGTGTGTGTGTGTGTGTCTGATCGTCTGTGTGTAATTTCCGGTCGGTTATATTGAAAAAACGGTAAGAGTTACAGGACTGGTTTTTTCGGTATAGTGTCGACAAAACTCTGACGAAGCCCATATGCAAATTTTTTTTAAATCAGCCGGCGGTAAGTGGCTTAATTGATGGTTTTGTACTATTAATGCAACATTATGGAGTGAGCCACTAAAATGGCTCACTTTTTCTTCCTATTCACTATATTTTCTATTACTGCACTGTAGATTGTAGCGTTGGTAATTAGGTTAGCTCCGCAAGTGATATTAAGAGTATAGGGCACTGATTGCGGTCTGTTTAAACTGTAGAGAGAGTTCATACTTTCATACGACAATGTTTATGCGTGTAATACTATAAGCTTATTAGGGGGGGGGGGGGGGGGGGGAGCCAGTCATTGCGGTCTGTTTGTTTACTTTCATACGACAATGTAATGTTGTCAAATATAAGGCGGGTGTGGTGCGGAGTTAATAAGGGTTAATTTAAAGCGGTTTAAGACGGGAGTGATGAGGTGTAATAGTCGTGGTACAGATACTATTGGATACGTGAGGGAACTCCGAATAGAATTGCTCACCTAATGCGGGTTTTCACTCAGCGGGTAATTACTCCTACCCTTTTTAACTGCGGCCGTGAAATCCCGGCCGAAGTCCGGGTTACACTACCTTACTCGGGAATATTATGACTGGGATAAAGTGGTGGGTTTTGGAAAATTCCGCCATATTTTTCCCGGTCATTAATTTTCCCAGTCATAATTTAACCCGCTATTATGTTCCCGAGTAAGGTAAACTAATAGTAATACATTTTGATGCTTGGTGGGTTTTGGAAAATTCCGCCATATTTTTCCCGGTCATTAATTTTCCCAGTCATAAATTAACCCGCTATAATATTCCCGAGTAAGGTAGTTAATATATATAATAATGTAAAGGAAATCTCAAACTATTTAATTTAGACTCTACCGGTAAAGTACAATGAAGGTTTATAACTTTAAGTTTTATTTCTCAAGGGTGAATAGGTAACAGATAAAAAAGTAAAACAAGACTGAGCACTTTATAATTTTAAGAATTGAGATAATTTTAAGAATTGACTTAGTTTTTTCAATTTTTAAAATGGACGGCGTGTTTGTAACCTGATTTGAAATACGCGGCGATATAAAAGAATGTTGGCAGTGTAATTAATGAGACCCGATATAATAATACCTGTGCAACTCTTGAGAGTGTACAGGTCTTGAGAGTGTACAGGTCTTGAGAGTGTACAGGTCTTAAGAGTGTAGAGGCGTCAGTGATTATTAAAACTCTTTCACGTGTCAAAACAAATACTGCTTACAGCTTTAATATTCTCACTTCAAGAGTGATATGTTATGGTACCGCGACAATTGACCCCCCGACAATTGACCCCCCGACAATTGACCCCCCGACAATTGACCCCCCGACAATTGACCCCTATGTAACTACACTGGGGTCAATTGTCGCGAAATCTAGGGTTTAGTACGACAATTGACCCCCCGACAATTGACCCCCCATGTAATTACACTGGGGTCAATTGATCGGGTCCTGGGTCAGGGTTAGGGTTAGGGTTAGGGTTAGGGTCCTGGGTCAGGGTAAGGGTTAGGGTTAGGGTCCTGGGTCAGGGTCAGGGTCAGGGTTAGGGTTAGGGTTAGGGTTAGGGTCAGGGTCAAGGTCAAGGTCAGGGTCAGGGTCAGGGTCAGGGTCAGGGTCAGGGTCAGGGTCAGGGTCAGGGTCCTGGGTCCTGGGTCCTGGGTCCTGGGTCCTGGGTCCTGGGTCCTGGGTCCTGGGTCCTGGGTCCTGGGTCCTGGGCCCTGGGTCCTGGGTCCTGGGTCCTGGGTCCTGGGTCCTGGGTCCTGGGTCAGGGTCAAGGTCAGCCGGGGGTCAATTGTCGGGGGGTCAATTGTCGGGGGGTTAATTGTCGGGGGGTCAATTGTCGGGGGGTCAATTGTCACCCACCCATATGTTATCTGTTCATACCCGCACTATAAGGCACTACTAAGGGTGCAGGTCCACTGTACTGTCCACTGTACTGTCCACTGTACTGTCCACTGTACTGTCCACTGTACTGTCCACTGTACTGTCCACTGTACTGTCCACTGTACTGTCCACTGTACTGTCCACTGTACTGTCCAATGTACTGTCCAATGTACTGTCCACTGTACTGTCCACTGTACTGTCCACTGTACTGTCCACTGTACTGTCCACTGTACTGTCCACTGTACTGTCCACTGTACTGTCCACTGTACTGTCCACTGTACAATCCACTGTACTGTCCACTGTACAGTCCACTGTACTGTCCACTGTACTGTCCACTGTACTGGCCACTGTACTGTCCACTGTACTGGCCACTGTACTGTCCACTGTACTGTCCACTGTACTGTCCACTGTACTGTCCACTTTACTGTCCACTGTACTGTCCACTGTACTGTCCACTGTACTGTCCACTGTACTGTCCACTGTACAGTCCACTGTACTGTCCACTGTACAGTCCACTGTACTGTCCACTGTACTGTCCACTGTACTGTCCACTGTACTGTCCACTGTACTGTCCACTGTACTGTCCAATGTACTGTCCACTGTACTGTCCACTGTACTGTCCACTGTACTGGCCACTGTACTGTCCACTGTACTGTCCACTGTACTGTCCACTGTACTGTCCACTGTACTGTCCACTGTACTGTCCACTGTACTGTCCACTGTACTGTCCACTGTACTGTCCACTGTACTGTCCACTGTACTGTCCACTGTACAGTCCACTGTACTGTCCACTGTACAGTCCACTGTACTGTCCACTGTACTGTCCACTGTACAGTCCACTGTACTGTCCACTGTACTGTCCACTGTACTGTCCACTGTACTGTCCACTGTACTGTCCACTGTACTGTCCACTGTACTGTCCACTGTACTGTCCACTGTACTGTCCACTGTACTGTCCACTGTACTGTCCACTGTACTGTCCACTGTACTGTCCACTGTACTGTCCACTGTACTGTCCACTGTACTGTCCACTGTACTGTCCACTGTACTGTCCACTGTACTGTCCACTGTACTGTCCACTGTACTGTCCACTGTACTGTCCACTGTACTGTCCACTGTACTGTCCACTGTACTGTCCACTGTACTATCCACTGTACTGTTCACTGTACAGTTCACTGTACTGTCCACTGTACTGTCCAGTGTCCACTGTACTGTCCAGTGTCCACTGTACTGTCCACTGTACAGTCCACTGTACTGTCCACTGTACTGTCCACTGTACTGTCCACTGTACTGTCCACAAGAACCCAGATAAATTATGGTTATAATATTTTATAACAGTGTGACCATGCTTTTTTGTTGGCAAAGAACTTTATTCACTGTTAAACCATCACCTTTGCTACGTAAAATTTAATCTAATTTAGGTTCTTACGGTAATTTGATTTATATTTTCATGAATACCCTGTTCAGAATAACGAATTTCCTGAGAGAAAAAATCGGCAAAATCATGTGCTTTTATTCTTACTGATTTCTTTAACACGTGTTTTAAAAATAATAGCGGATATCTATAGATACATATTATCAAGCAACTTCTGCTAAATGTTCACAACACTTTGAGAATGATGAAGAATCGCAACGAAATGTAAGCGTTACAGTTTGTTATACTTAAATGCAATAAGCAAACTACACGTTACACGCAGCCACGCAGCCACACACACACACACACACACACACACACACACACACACACACACACACACACACACACACACACACACACACACACACACACACACACACACACACACACACACACACACACACACACACACACACACACACACACACACACACACACACACACACACACACACACACACACACACACACACACACACACACACACACACACACACACACACACACACACACACACACACACACACACACACACACACACACACACACACTGTTCCTCACTGATAGTGTGATATTTTGATGCGGTTACAAATATGAAAATCTAAATACTACAAGAATTACTTTATATATTACATCTACAAATAGAATTATATCTCGTAAATATGCCATTATCTCACACCATCGCACGTAATTCGTTAAGTAGACACATCAGTATTTCTCTTCTGTAATCTGATGAAACTCTGCCAGATGGAATTCCCAAAGGATTGACATGTTATAATGGGGGGAGGGGGGGGGGGGGCTCACGTTATAATGGGGGGGGGGGGGGGGCTCACGTTATAATATAACAGTAGGATAATAAGTAGTGTCAGTGTTTACCACCTGTTTACCACCTGTTTACCACCTGTTTACCACCTGTTTACCACCTGTTTACCACATGTTTACCACCCGTTAATCTTAAGATCGTATGCATGGGGGGGGGGGGGGGGGGGGGGGGTAATATTTGGACAGAAAAATATCATGATCACCCCTCACCCCTCACCCCTCACCCCTCACCCCTCACCCCTCACCCCTCACCCCTCACCCCTCACCCCTCGCTCCTCACCCCTCGCTCCTCACCCCTCACCCCTCGCTCCTCACCCCTCACCCCTCACCCCTCACCCCTCACCCCTCACCCCTCACCCCTCACCCCTCACCCCTCACCCCTCACCCCTCACCCCTCACCCCTCACCCCTCACCCCTCACCCCTCACCCCTCACCCCTCACCCCTCACCCCTCACCCCTCACCCATAGGTTTGTTAGATATGAAAACAATTACCTTGTGTATCTGGTTAGTGAGACAAACGTAGATGGTGAAAGTAGCTCCGAACACAAGGAGAGAGAAGTTTTGCAGCATCCACTCCTCCCCGTACAGATAGCAACTGTAGCAAGTATAAGTTAGTTATCTCATTAGTTACCACGTACTTTAGGTAGGTCGTAACTAATTAGGTAGTGTCCATTTAAATAAATAATGACACTTTTTAGGTATTAGATTAATCAATATAATCCTGTTTAAATATTTATATTATATTATTAAAATATTGAAAAATATACAACGTGTGTGATATTAGCATCCACTCCTCCCCGTACAGATAGCAACTGTAGCAAGTATAAGTTAGTTATCTCATTAGTTACCACGTACTTTAGGTAGGTCGTAACTAATTAGGTAGTGTCCATTTAAATAAATAATGACACTTTTTAGGTATTAGATTAATCAATATAATCCTGTTTAAATATTTATATTATATTATTAAAATATTGAAAAATATATAACGTGTGTGATAATACACACGTGTAACCCACGTGATAATACACACGTGTAACCCACGTGATAATACACACGTGTAACCCACGTGATAATACACACGTGTAACCCACGTGATAATACACACGTGTAACCCACGTGTTACTCACCAGGAAAGTAAGGGAACTAGAAACAAGTTGGATAACATGCAGTTATCTCCGTTCGTCTCAACTATGTCGTGTTTTGTCATGGCAACCGGGTCCACGTGGTGCTCCCGAAACGGTCTGATAAACGCCTGAAAATATAGGTGACACATTAGTACACTACATTAGTACACTACATATCTGTAGTTTATAGGAAGAGAGTGGGGCACTGTTGCCAGGTAACACACGTGATATCTGTTTCAGTTAACATTGCGGTAATTCAATAAAGAATTAATAAACTTATCTGATATGATCAGAGTGTGTAATGATGTTAATCAATCTTTATTTTTATCGCGAGATAATGTTTACTTAAATGTCTCAATTTATCTTGTTGTGTAAAAGCACTGTTCACATCATAGTGTTACCACATTACACACTCTCTGTTCTATAAGAGAAAGGAAACATTGGGGGGGGGGGGGGGGGCATTTTACTAGGTCTTTATTGTTTGTCAAATATCTTTAGATGTGAACAATAGCATAGTAGGGTGTTTAACTTATAAATGAGACAGACGTTTGTTTCTTAAATTTTCACGTCAGTTAATCAGTTAATTGGATAATTACATAATTAGCTAATTGCCAACCAACCAAATAATGTTTCGATTAAATTGCATGAACCGTGGAGCAAAGTAGTTTTCAGAAAAAACTTTGCAAAGTTTACGTTTCGGAAAATAAGCCCTATATTGTATAGATTAGAGAATGTTTCTTATAAGAAACTGAGTGTATCTCCATTAACAGTTCACATAATGCCACATAATGCCACATAATGCCACATAATGCCACATAATGCCACATTATACTGCACGACTTTACAATGTAATTAAGCTGGATTCTACTTCACTTTCTCGCTGGGTAACTAGTATTATCTAGTACCTTCTAGTGGTATGTTTTAGTGCTGTAAAGTGTAAATAACTGAAGGTCACAATGGTACGATCCTGACTGTTTGATTATAATCTTATTATATATAACCCTAACTAGTTTTATATATATTATATATATAAAATACGTAGGTTGGAACTTTCTTATTAGTTCTAGAAGATGTTCGAGAAACACGATTAGTTCTAGAACATGTTCGAGAAACACAATTTGCGACAACAGTTTTGTGAGAATAATCTTTATATTAGATTTGAAAAATTTCAAACCTTTTAAACAAATCTTAGTCAAAAGGTATACATGGTACCCGAAGTGAATATATATGTAGTGAAGGTGAAGTGAAGGTGCAGTAAAGGTGTAGTAATGGTAAAGCAAAGGTGTAATAAAGGTGTAGTGAAGGTGTAGTTAAGTTATTACGTATCACTTACTTGTCCTATGATAGGTATATTCACGGTTCCCCATGTATCTGCTGCCCAATGGACTAGACCGGACATGAAATCTGCTAACAATGCACCAAACACTGTAAAAACGTTAGATATTTTATCTGAAGGAACAGACAAATCAGATGTCTGTTATTTGTATCTGAAAAACACGATACAAATTTTTGTTGATGTCGCATGTCGAGAACCTAAAACTATTTATTTAAATAATAGATTTTCAATAGTTGTGAATTGAGGTCATAACATCACCAGTAATTACTAAGTGCCGTAACATCACCAGTAATTACTATGTGCCGTAACATCACCAGTAATTACTAAGTGCCATAACATCATCAGTAATTACTATGTGCCGTAACATCACCAGTAATTACTAAGTGCCATAACATCACCAGTAATTACTATGTACCATAACATCACTAGTAATTACTATGTGCCGTAACATCACCAGTAATTATTAAGTGCCATAACATCACCAGTAATTATTAAGTGTCATAACATCACCAGTAATTACTAAGTGCCATAACATCACCAGTAATTACTAAGTGCCATAACATCACCAGTAATTACTAAGTACCATAACATCACCAGTAATTACTAAGTACCATAACATCACCAGTAATTACTAAGTGCCATAACATCACCAGTAATTACTAAGTGCCATAACATCACCAGTAATTATTAAGTACCATAACATCACCAGTAATTACTAAGTGCCATAACATCCTTAGTAATTATTAAGTGCCATAACATCACCAGTAATTACTAAGTACCATAACATCACCAGTAATTATTAAGTGCCATAACATCCCCAGTAATTACTAAGTGCCATAACATCACCAGTAATTATTAAGTGTCATAACATCACCAGTAATTACTAAGTGCCATAACATCACCAGTAATTACTAAGTGCCATAACATCACCAGTAATTACTAAGTGCCATAACATCACCAGTAATTACTAAGTGCCATAACATCACCAGTAATTATTAAGTGCCGTAACATCACCAGTAATTACTAAGTGCCGTAACATCACCAGTAATTATTAAGTGCCATAACATCACCAGTAATTACTAAGTGCCATAACATCACCAGTAATTATTAAGTGTCATAACATCACCAGTAATTACTAAGTGTCATAACATCACTAGTAATTACTATGTGCCGTAACATCACCAGTAATTATTAAGTGCCATAACATCACCAGTAATTATTAAGTGCCATAACATCACCAGTAATTACTAAGTGCCATAACATCACTAGTAATTACTATGTGCCGTAACATCACCAGTAATTATTAAGTGCCATAACATCACCAGTAATTACTAAGTGCCATAACATCACCAGTAATTATTAAGTGTCATAACATCACCAGTAATTACTATGTACCATAACATCACTAGTAATTACTATGTGCCATAACATCACCAGTAATTACTAAGTGCCATAACATCACCAGTAATTACTATGTGCCATAACATCATTAGTAATTACTAAGTGCCATAACATCACCAGTAATTATTAAGTGTCATAACATCACTAGTAATTACTATGTACCATAACATCACTAGTAATTACTATGTGCCGTAACATCACCAGTAATTATTAAGTGCCATAACATCACCAGTAATTACTAAGTGCCATAACATCACCAGTAATTACTAAGTGCCATAACATCACCAGTAATTACTAAGTGCCATAACATCACCAGTAATTATTAAGTGTCATAACATCACTAGTAATTACTATGTACCATAACATCACTAGTAATTACTATGTGCCGTAACATCACCAGTAATTATTAAGTGCCATAACATCACCAGTAATTACTAAGTGCCATAACATCACCAGTAATTACTATGTGCCATAACATCACCAGTAATTACTAAGTGCCATAACATCACTAGTAATTACTAAGTGCCATAACATCACCAGTAATTACTAAGTGCCATAACATCACCAGTAATTACTATGTGCCATAACATCACCAGTAATTACTAAGTGCCATAACATCACCAGTAATTATTAAGTGCCATAACATCACTAGTAATTACTAAGTGCCATAACATCACCAGTAATTACTAAGTGCCATAACATCACCAGTAATTACTATGTGCCATAACATCACCAGTAATTACTAAGTGCCATAACATCACCAGTAATTACTATGTGCCATAACATCACCAGTAATTACTAAGTGCCGTAACATCACTAGTAATTACTAAGTGCCATAACATCACCAGTAATTACTAAGTGCCATAACATCACCAGTAATTATTAAGTGTCATAACATCACTAGTAATTACTATGTACCATAACATCACTAGTAATTACTATGTGCCGTAACATCACCAGTAATTATTAAGTGCCATAACATCACCAGTAATTACTAAGTGCCATAACATCACCAGTAATTACTAAGTGCCATAACATCACCAGTAATTACTAAGTGCCATAACATCACCAGTAATTATTAAGTGTCATAACATCACTAGTAATTACTATGTACCATAACATCACTAGTAATTACTATGTGCCGTAACATCACCAGTAATTATTAAGTGCCATAACATCACCAGTAATTACTAAGTGCCATAACATCACCAGTAATTACTATGTGCCATAACATCACCAGTAATTACTAAGTGCCATAACATCACTAGTAATTACTAAGTGCCATAACATCACCAGTAATTACTAAGTGCCATAACATCACCAGTAATTACTATGTGCCATAACATCACCAGTAATTACTAAGTGCCATAACATCACCAGTAATTATTAAGTGCCATAACATCACTAGTAATTACTAAGTGCCATAACATCACCAGTAATTACTAAGTGCCATAACATCACTAGTAATTACTAAGTACCATAACATCATCAGTAATTACTAAGTGCCATAACATCACCAGTAATTACTATGTGCCATAACATCACCAGTAATTACTAAGTACCATAACATCATCAGTAATTACTAAGTGCCATAACATCACCAGTAATTACTAAGTGCCGTAACATCACCAGTAATTACTAAGTGCCATAACATCACCAGTAATTACTAAGTGCCGTAACATCACCAGTAATTACTATGTGCCGTAACATCACCAGTAATTACTAAGTGCCATAACATCACCAGTAATTACTAAGTGCCATAACATCACCATTAATTACTAAGTGCCATAACATCACCAGTAATTACTAAGTGCCATAACATCACTAGTAATTACTAAGTGCCATAACATCACTAGTAATTACTATGTGCCATAACATCACCAGTAATTACTAAGTGCCATAACATCACCAGTAATTATTAAGTGCCATAACATCACCAGTAATTACTAAGTGCCATAACATCATTAGTAATTACTAAGTACCATAACATCATCAGTAATTACTAAGTGCCATAACATCACCAGTAATTACTAAGTGCCGTAACATCACCAGTAATTACTAAGTGCCATAACATCACCAGTAATTACTAAGTGCCGTAACATCACCAGTAATTACTATGTGCCGTAACATCACCAGTAATTACTAAGTGCCATAACATCACCAGTAATTACTAAGTGCCATAACATCACCATTAATTACTAAGTGCCATAACATCACCAGTAATTACTAAGTGCCATAACATCACTAGTAATTACTAAGTGCCATAACATCACTAGTAATTACTATGTGCCATAACATCACCAGTAATTACTAAGTGCCATAACATCACCAGTAATTATTAAGTGCCATAACATCACCAGTAATTACTAAGTGCCATAACATCATTAGTAATTACTAAGTGCCATAACATCACTAGTAATTACTATGTGCCATAACATCACCAGTAATTATTAAGTGCCATAACATCACCAGTAATTACTAAGTGCCATAACATCATTAGTAATTACTAAGTGCCATAACATCATCAGTAATTACTAAGTGCCATAACATCACTAGTAATTACTAAGTGCCGTAACATCACCAGTAATTATTAAGTGCCATAACATCACCAGTAATTACTAAGTGTCATAACATCACCAGTAATTACTAAGTGTCATAACATCACCAGTAATTACTAAGTGCCATAACATCACTAGTAATTACTAAGTGCCATAACATCACCAGTAATTACTAAGTACCATAACATCACCAGTAATTACTAAGTGCCATAACATCACCAGTAATTACTAAGTGCCATAACATCACCAGTAATTACTAAGTGCCATAACATCACCAGTAATTACTAAGTGCCATAACATCACCAGTAATTACTAAGTGTCATAACATCACCAGTAATTACTAAGTGCCATAACATCACCAGTAATTACTAAGTGCCATAACATCACCAGTAATTACTAAGTGCCATAACATCATCAGTAATTACTAAGTGCCGTAACATCACCAGTTATTATTAAGTGCCGCAAAGCAATTCCAATTTCAACACTTTAATTGTTTTCAATACAGAAGCTTTGATGAGGTTTCCAAATTTAGTATTACATACTGTCCAGTGTACAAATAAGATTCCTAAAAGATAGAATGCTTGTTGTATAATAATACTGTGAACAAAGGAAACATTACTGGGGGGGGGGGGGGGGGGGGTTACTGGTCTGGTGTTTGGTTGAAACGTTTGCCTAATTTTATGACAATGAGTCACAATTAGTGGTTTTTGTATAAATGTACATACCTAAGGACATTATGAAAGCTCCAAAGTATTGCCTCTTAAAATGATACATTACAAGAGTCATAATCGTCAGCTGGAGGATAACAAATGAAACCATCATCGTTATTTCAAACATCCTTTTCTCTGAAAATAGACAATATAATAAGGGATTTCCCTCACATCTGTACACAATTTTGCATTGTGAGATGCAATTTTAGAGAATTTTCGCATGAGATGTTGTTGGAATTCCAACCAATAATTTGCACAATTTACAAACAAAGATCAATGATTTAAAATACCTTTTGTGTAACCAGCTTTTAAGAGTGCAGCACTTTTAGAGTTTTTCTTGAGAACAGGCTTCTTTTGTTCTTTGGTAACTCGTTTGTGAACATACGCTGAGGTGAGATGAATAAACATGACTTTAACAAGAAAGTACCAAAATATAGTTGATAATCGTTCTTCCTGACTGAATTACCAAAAATGAATACTTCTATCCAAGAAAACAGCTAATTTGAACAAGTAAAGAAAAGAACATTAAGTAATGGGAAAGTGTGAGTCATTATGAACTTTTAATTGATGTTTTGGGACAAAGTGAGAGTCTCCACTCAGTTTTTCAAACAAATAGTTGTCAACGTTTCGGCCCACGGTCTTGTCATGGAAAAGACGATACAATTACGTTACATAGCTCAATAAATGTAATAGATTTGTAGTGTTATAATTAGTTTAAAACTCAACGTTGACAACTATTTGTTTGAAAAACTGAGTGGAGACTCTCACTTAGTCCCAAAACATCAATTATATGATCGACCCACTCAAAAGAACGAAAACAGATTGTCATTATGAACTTTAACATCAGCAATATTGAAATCAAACGTCACTTACAGTTATGATAAACAGGTTACCTGAAGATGTTTCAGCAGTGATGAGTGGAAGAGACTCTGGCTTCATAGACTTTGACAGCTCTGATGCCATGTCTCTCAGTACCTTGGAGGTCTCCATTGCTGAGATAAAATTACTAAAATCTTTGAAAAGCACAAGATATGGGACTGTACAACGGTAAAATGTGTTTTTAGATGAGATAGTGGCCCAACCAAGAATAAATGCCTAGTGAAATAGCATTTCATGTTTACTTCTTAATGTACAGCTATGATTTACAGAATTAACATGTGAACTCTACCCCAGATCTAGCCCATTTCTATGTCAATTATATTCAATCCACGGATCACATCACTAATTATACGTCACTAATTGGTGACGTGATCTGACTCCTCTTGGGGGCCAGATCAGTTTCCTGGCCCAAAGTCTCCCAGTGAGTGAAATCTCCAAACCAAGTTGTCAATCAGAATTATATGTGGTCTAATGGTAAAACGGATTGGTCTAGATGATGGCAAATTCTTAACTTGTTATTTCCAAGTTGTGCAGCCTTGCCAAATCTATGAAGTGGTCAATTATAGACAGCTATTGATCCAGTCTGACTGAAAAATCGGAGTATTTCTCTGTAGATGGGCTTACATTGTTGCCAAGGAAGAGTGGTGATGTTTCATCTTCTCAAAAGTAATTAATTAGCACATTCACTTTTTCGACTAAGCTTCAAATTGAAAACAATTGAATATCGTTTTAACTAATTGCCATCTTAAACATGGATCACTTCCGCACTAATAGCTGATTCTGTTGGTGTCCAAATAGAGCTATTAAATCCTGGTACCGGTCATATTTGACTGATCCCAGCCAACTTCAAACTGGATAAAAATCCCGGTCCCGGTCAAAATTGACCAATCCCAATCCCGGTCCCAGTCATTTCAAATATCTTATCCTGGTCGTTTGCTGTCTTTAATGGCATAAGGAGATAGTACTGTGATCATAGACCTTTTAAGGTCCCTGTTGGTACACTTTCTCCAGATTTATCGATTTCTAAATCTAGAAACACACTAATTTAGAGATTTACCGGCGTATCCTCTAAAATCATATAATTTGTTCAATTTTAGGGAGGGGTGCCAAAAAGGGAGGAGGCACCAACAGCAGGCAACGTTACGCCACTGTCATCCACCAGATGAAGCTGGGGCGTCTTTAGGCAGGATTAATTACACCAAAAAGAGACAGATTTTCATTTCTATGACTATGAGCAGATGGAAATTTGCTTTTTACTATGATAAAAATTAAAGAACAAAAATGAAAGTATCGAGTCATGTAAAAAACCCCATTATAGCAAAGTTCATTATGTAGCAAGGTTTAATCCAGGAGGAGTTCACATGTCACATGCACCGTGTTTTATTGCATACAACCAGTGGCGTAACGTTGCCTGTTGCCCCTCCCCCCCCCCCCCCCCGCTGAAGCACATCACATGACATAGGGTTAAAATACTGGATAGTAACGAGAAAAAACTAAGCTTTGGTCAGGCTAGTAAAACACAAATACAATTGTTTAGCGTTAGGATTTGGGTTGTGGTTCGTTAAGGATACGGTTAGATTCGGGGCTGGGGTTTATAGTTTTTGGTTTATATGGTTTATATTTATTATTTGTATCACGTCGTGACCCCCATTGTCGCGTCGTTTCACATTTCACTAATTTTACTATAGTATCGTGGCTACGATACAATCGTTTAATTTAATGAGAAATATTAATAAAATGTTCATTATTTTTTGTTAGTAAAACAAAATTTAAATTGTATTGCCATAATACATTGAATAGTAATATCATAATAAACATAGTTAAACTTAACCATCCGATAATAAACTCATGAATATTAGCTATGCTAATATAATGCAAAATAAGCTTTTTACTTCATAGGGTTAGGGTTTTGAAAAGTCGTTCAGAACCAGCTAGAGAATGGGTTAAGAACGTCACGTGACAGTCGAGTGTAGAGTGATTAATCATCATCCAGCAATGCTACGAAGTAGCGCGCGCAGGGCCATATCATTAACAATGGTCAATCGCGCGGCGCGTCGAAGCCTTCCAAGGGGCGGGCGCCGGGGAGGAGGGAAAAGGGCCGCAACAGGGGTAAGTTTTTGAGTCTACCAGCTTTATCACTACACATGTATATGTATCGTCGTATCTCAATAGCAAAACAAATTGACGGATGTTACTTGAGAAAACAACAATTTCAAGAAAACAACAATTTTATTAAAATTATATTAGTATCAATTAAAGCAAACAAAACATAGAATTTATATATATATATACAATTTTATTTAAATTATATTAGTATCAATTAAAGCAAACAAAACATAGAATTTTATATATATATATATTTTGTTGCTGTACTCCTACACATTAAAATTCGGTGTTGATTAGATCTTCGAAATAAGTCTTTGCATCATTTTATTAAACATCGTTATCTCAAATTATTTGTTATATTACTTACTTTGGTTACTTTGGTTGTGTTTATCCTCGTAGCAGGAAGGGTCATCAGATTTCTGACCACCTCGATGGCGAGTAGTCTACCAGGGAATTAGACCAGCTGCAGCTATAACCGGAAGTCGGAGGGTTGTCCGGTATCAAAGCAATAAACTTGGACAAACTAACTTTAAACGACTCAAACGTAGCTTCAGCTTTAATATTATCAGGCACTTTGTTCCACAGTTTTGGTCCTCTTACAGCAAATGAGCTGTCATAGAGTGTCTGGTTGCTCGAGGAACTCAACCTAGACAGGGAAGGGATGATTGCTCGGGTACCATGTCTGGATGTTTTTGTGAACCTTATATTGCTGCAATTGGGGACAACATTGTGAAGGATCTTCCACATCATCAGAATAGTGTACCGTTCCCTTCTGCGCTGCAGTGACATTAGCTTTAGATGTGAAAGCCTCTCCCAGTAGTTCATATTTTCCAGACCGCATATACGATCGGTGAATGTTCGCTGGACCCCCTCCAAAAGCTGGATCTCAGTCACCTTAACAGGGTCCCACAGCGGACAACAGTACTCTAGTAGGCTTCTGACCAAAGACTTATATAGGGTAGTCATTACGGTCCTATCACGAGTTTTGAAGACACTAAACACCCATGACAGTGTGCTTCTAGCTTTCTTGACCATATTACCGATCTGTTTGGACCAGTTCAGATCGCTTGATACCATAACTCCGAGGTCTCTAACGTTCTCAACGGGATGTAGTATTTCCTCGCTGGAGACCTTGTAAAGTAGAGTTTCCACGTAAAAAGGAAGTTCAGAAAAGGTACTTTTTCTATTGTGGAGATGATTCAGGAGCTCAAACTTCTGTTCGTGGAGCTTCATGTTGTTGCAGCGTGACCAGTCGAGAATATATAGTAGTGTTGAAAGTATTAAAATATATATATAACTAGCACGAACTTTAGACCAAATATATTATAAGGGACTTGGAGCAGCAAGAAGCTGACTGGAAAGTATATACCTTCAACAAAAATACGTCGAAAAGAATCCAGGATGATATTGTAGGTTTACAACCTACCAGGACGCGCGCCGAGTTGGACTCGTCGACGGTCCTATATATGGAACAGATATTTTACGAGTATCACCCGTTAAGATCGGAGAGTGCAGACCGTACGCACCCACCCTTGCCTCCTGAATTTTTGGAGTTAGCTAAATTTCTGGAGTTAGCTTCATTCAATAATAACAATATCAATATAATCAATATCTATATCAATATCGGACTAAACTATCGAATAAATTATCAAATATTAATTATTAATTAGTTCTGATTAAAAATTTATAAATTAAAATATTACAAGTGGTTAAAAATGCCCAAAACTCGGCTAACTGTGTTAGTCCATGAGGTGGAGACAGAGGTGCGAGAAAAACATTGTTGATATGAACAGTCTAGATCTTAACTTGGAGCCACAAGGCCGGGTAATTTTTGATTGTTTAGGGAAATTTTTGAATTCTTAAAGGGTTGATTTATATAGGGTCATTGCTATATTATGTGCCATATTGTTTGAATAATTAAAAAAAAAAGAAAAAAAAGGAATAATAAAAAAAAGAAAAAAAGTTAGTCCATTATAGGGCGAAGAAAGTATGGTACACACTACCTTAACCGTCACTGGCCAAAAAGATCCTTCGGCTTCCTGTAATTGGCTGGTTGCACTTGTGTAACAATGTGACTGTTGGAATACACCGAAGTAAAATAAGTGTCTTGATAAAAAAAAAAACAATGGACAACAAGACACAACGCAGTCTGAGCAGGTGATCTCTCATCACTTTGTAGGTTTATAACCTACCAAGATGTGCAACGAGTTGAACCTGTCAACGGTTTTGGAACAAATATTTTACAAGTACTATCTTGCTCTAACCAGAGCCCTCACGCTTGCAGTAGGTTGCAGTGTTTTAATGTTTTAAGAGAACTCTCCTTAAATTATTTTAATGCAGTCACTCAGATAAGTTTTATACCAGGACAGTTCAACAAAGACACATACTCTGCCCACAATAAGGGGCCATAATTGTCTCAATTATGTAACTGTATTTAATTATTATTATTATTCCACCTAGATAACTCAGCCCATTGGAAGAAGAGGTGCTCTGTTTGCAGTAGAGGGTATCATTGGACATCAGACTACGTGGCCAGCTGACATTCATCATCTTTTTTTAGGCCGTTACGGTGACATGTGTCTAGTTTATCTCAATACGATTAAAGCATTCCCCAGCAACTAGAATTATATATTAGGATTGATACTAACTATTTGGGCTTCATAAACCACCAGCTTTTCTGTACTTACTCTAGGGTGGCTAACATACTTCTTTTGGTGACATCTTTTCTACTTTCTAGCAGAGGAGCCAACATAACAACTTGCCACTACACCAATCTGTGTTCATTCTAAGGGGTTTACCATCATCCATTGCATCACCTCATCTTTCTCAGCAATATGGACGTGCACAAACTCACTCTAGGGATTCGATAACATTCAGGTCTAACTCTTTAAAGAGATCATGAAGTGTAAATTTGCGAATTCTTCAAAAATACTCGAAACTTGGGTAGTGAGCTAGGCTTGGTAATTCTGCCGCAATCCCAAAATAGCTCCGTCGTAATTGCTTCACAAGCTGAGATAATATGGGGCATATCAATAACATTTTTCCAAGTTGCGGCTAGGTGACAGGATAGCATATACGACATGTGTAAAAACACCTGATTTTAATCGTCCATAACAAGTTTTCTGTTGATAATTTTTTTGAACCGACAAGATTACCATCAGGTATAAACCATTATATTTCACATATCTTCCTAAATTTGGTGTACAGCGATTAATCTAGTTCCTACAAGCAATTAAAGGCAGCTCACTTCATGGAACTTGAATGTAGCACGAAATCCTGGAATAATAGCTTAATTTTAATGCCATCATGTGCGGCTGTGTTTTTAGCTATCTTCATGCACATTTTGCTGATATTCCAACGAAATTAACTTGCTCAAAAATTCAAAAAACATGGTTTTTTGGCATATTTTTGGCCCAAAAATCGGTTTTTTTGCGATTTTAACTGGGGAAACTCAGACTTATCATTTCAAAACCACGTTTAATCGATTCTACGGTTAAAAGTACGTCTAGAAAGATGTATGTGGAGTCCCTAGCGTATCGAGCAGAAAATGCCCGTAAGAGCTTTTACTAGTAAATTTATAAGACAATTATTTGACGCTTGTGTATATTATGCACATTATACAACCACAATTTTCGAAAGATAAAAGTCAAATCTATCAAGTGTCGTTAATTTGAAGATTTTATCAATTAAATTGGCGCCACAGCACATGAATAAAAATGTGCATTTTAACACTGTTTCTATTGCGGTGTCTGACAGTTAGCCGCAATCCAACAAAATAGGGCGATATTCCAGTATCGATTTCACGCGACATAATTAAGTTACGAATCTGGGAATTCCGAGCCCTATTCTTATATTAGTGTTTCTATGTGATAGTATTATATGTGAAATGTTTTGACGATTAAGTCGGGGACACTTCATGATCCCTTTAAACAGCTTTGTAGCAATAGAGAGGAGGGCTTCTAGCACATCTTAATCTTCACCAAGGAGGTCAATGTTATCAGAGCAAGCATTCTCTTCAGGCACTAGGGCTAATAGGAGGGGTAGGGGAACCGTCACAGCACGCAGGTGGTAGCAGGCACCAGCTAGAGTTAGTGATGCCTGATACACTATCACCTTAAGGTCCACTGTTGGTGCTGATCAATTCAAGGAAGATAGCTTCATTGACTAGCACCTTGTTCTTGGTGTTGCTCAGGAGGAATCTCACTAGCCTGATGTCATCTCTGGTGCATCCTGCATCGTCCAGGAGGATGAGCACAGTCTGTCTACTGATATGATAGTGGCCCATCTTGTGGAAAGACCATTCTATTTCTTTGACTATGACTATTAATAACTTTGGTTTGAATGTCCTGTACAGCAGATTAAAGCTTCTTAAAATATTATTTTTTATTCTAATTGTAATATTCTTATTCTAATTCTAATTGTAACTCATAGTGGTTAGAGCTGAGGTTTTTTAATATGATATTAAAAAAGTTTTAAATAAACAGGTCACCTGTTGATTTGAATTTTTACCCTATTGTCTTCTTTAGGTACTGATATGCTTTCCTGTCGTTCACTTAAGGTATGCTATGTACATATAATACTATCAGTAACTCAAGAGTGTTTATACTATTACTGTTTTTCTTTAATTATCAGTCTGGAAATGGTATGACTTAATTCGTATCCAGTTTTAAAATTAACCATATCGTAAAGTTGCAACATATCATAATGTTTCTATATCAGTTCTATACTACTACTTAAATCTGGAAACTCTAAATAATGGTACAAGGTTGGTTACAAAGAAACAGTACAGATTTTACTTTATGATATGTCACACTAATCTTGAACTGCAATATATTCTCAGGGCCAGTGTCTTAATCTACTATGGCGACAAAAATCATGCTTATCCAGTCTGCAGAGTAAAAATGTGGCAGTGAGAAAATCAGAGAGTCTTAGAAATAAGCCCAAACTTGAAGAACTAGTTTTTGGTAAGTTTTGCAAGTTCTTATGTTTGTTTGCTGGAGAAATGTACCAGAGTCACTATGATCGCAGATTTCCAAGTTTCCAAATTATACATATCATTACTTTGCTGTTTACTGTAGCTAATAGTCTGGTAACATTATGAACTTAAAACTTAGTTTATTTGCAGGAAAGTTTTTCTCTGATCACATGTTAGTATGTGATTACGATGATGCTGAGGGGTGGAAAGATCCTCAGATTATGCCCTTTGGAGTAGGTTGCTTTGTAATACTGATTAAATGTGCCTTTATAAACTATTGTGTTATTTCTTTCTTCACATGTTATCTGAATACCTGTGGGGAGATTCACCCATTTGTACTTGACGATGAAATGGTTAAAGATATAACCTGATAGTAGTTTAATTCATTTCGTTGACAATTGTTACATCTCAGCATAATTATAAATAATATAAGTGTTCGCAGGTTAATTACTAATTAGGTTGCCCCACCAAAAGAACGGGATCCTTTTAGGAAGCATCCTGCAACAATTTTATATTATGTCAGATTTATTGAATACTCATTCGTGTTGCAAAATTTTATAATTTAATTGAATTGGTTTGTTAATTGCTGTCACTTGTCAGACAAATTTGGTTCACCTCCTCACCAGTTTTCCGATATATAATAGATAGATCCATGACAGCTCATTACTGATCAGAATTATATTATAATTAATTAATTAATTAATTATTAACTAATCATGTCTGTTGCAGGATTTCCAGCTTTCCCCGGCAATCTCCTCACTACATTACGCTATACAGTGTTTTGAAGGAATGAAAGCGTACAGAACTTCAGATAATGACGTCAGATTGTTCAGACCAAATCTTAATATTCAGAGGATGCAGCGCACTGGAAAAGTGCTGACATTGCCGGTAAATTATTGTGGATTAACAGTAATGTTCGGCTTGTACTGTTTAATTCTAAGCTACAACACATATTTAAATATTAATGTTTAAATTTCCGGAATCTAGGCAATTGGATATGGTGTGGAGGCACACTCTCGAGGAACGTTTTGACGCTGTTGATTTCATATTCTCTCGAATTTTCTGTACACCAATGACACTGCGACTAAAGGAACTAATGACAAATATGTACCGAAATATTGGCTATTTTTGTTACTTTGTTATTGTTATATTTGTCATTAGTTCCTTTTGTCGCAGTGTCATTGGTGTACAGAAAATTGGAGAGAATATGAAATCAACAACGTGGAATCTAGTCTAAACAAATGTTAATAATTTACTCCGCGGTAAGAAAGTGTACAATAAAAGCCTTATTACAGGAATTTGACGGAGACGAGTTCCTGAAACTATTAAAACAGTTAATACAGCTGGACAGTGATTGGGTCCCAGACACACAGGCAGCTTCCCTTTACATCAGACCTACTTTTATTAGTACTGACGTGAGTTATACTACATTATACTAGCAGCTTCCCTTTACATCAGACCTACCTTCATTAGTACTGACGTGAGTTATACTATATTATACTAGCAGCTTCCCTTTACATCAGACCTACTTTCATTAGTACTGACGTGAGTTATACTACATTATACTAGCAGCTTCCCTTTACATCAGACCTACTTTCATTAGTACTGACGTGAGTTATACTACATTATACTAGCAGCTTCCCTTTACATCAGACCTACCTTCATTAGTACTGACGTGAGTTATACTATATTATACTAGCAGCTTCCCTTTACATCAGACCTACCTTCATTAGTACTGACGTGAGTTATACTACATTATACTAGCAGCTTCCCTTTACATCAGACCTACTTTCATTAGTACTGACGTGAGTTATACTATATTATACTAGCAGCTTCCCTTTACATCAGACCTACCTTCATTAGTACTGACGTGAGTTATACTACATTATACTAGCAGCTTCCCTTTACATCAGACCTACTTTCATTAGTACTGACGTGAGTTATACTACATTATACTAGCAGCTTCCCTTTACATCAGACCTACTTTTATTAGTACTGACGTGAGTTATACTACATTATACTAGCAGCTTCCCTTTACATCAGACCTACTTTTATTAGTACTGACGTGAGTTATACTACATTATACTAGCAGCTTCCCTTTACATCAGACCTACTTTTATTAGTACTGACGTGAGTTATAACTTATATTCTATACTATACTAGTCTCTTTCCCCCGTTCTCAAATTGTGGTGACGTTAGTTAGCGGCAGTATATGGAGTAATGTTACATAGTTAGTACAGTTATCTGTTAGTGTGTATTAGATTTACTAAATTTGGTTATTAAGTGTTATAGGATAATGTTTCAATTAAATTGTCTCTTATGACCTTCTGTAATCAGTCCTCAATTAGTTCTTAATTAGTTCTTAATTAGTTCTTAATTAGGTTTTACTCATTCAACCGTAAAGCTACTGTACAGTGAGTAACATATTGAGTGAGTAGCTACTATAATATAGCTACTATACTACAATACTCAATACTGATAATCTAGAGGTACTTGATATGTAAGATTCGTTGTGTTGGTTGTACGGCAGAGGTCCGATACACTTTACAGTGCATATCATGTGTATTGTATAGTGATTTAAATACTATATGGCATGTGTGGTGTATATAATATATGTATAGTAGTTATACTATATGATAATATGGCATGTGTGGTGTATGTATATGTATAGCAGTTATAATATAATAATATGGTATGTGTGGTGTATGCGATGACACACGTGCATTCTTACTTATGTGCATATCCTTGTATAATACATAATTAAGGCTTTTACATATCTCAAGATTGACAGTAATACACGTCACTCAGGGAAATAATTTGACTTAAATTGGGGGGGGGGGGGGGACCTGTTCAGTTTATTAAACTCTTACTTACTGAACACTTTAATATAGCACAGCAATATTTGGTGTATTTCAGACCAAACCTCCAAATACCACTCAGATGTCTGTTAACGTAATTACCGAATATTGATACCTAGAATACCGTAGGGAATTCGGGCCCATAACTAACCTTGTAATGTGAGAAGACGAACTGGTCCTCTTTTTAACGTTGTATAATTATGTGTGACCTACCTGTGTGATTTTATCAAGAAACGGATTGTTTGTGATCTGTTGTGAAGTGAGAACTGATTGGTTTGTAGACTAGAGACCAATCAGAGTCGAGAGAGATGTTTCTCTGGCACACTATATATCTTGAATAATAAACATATAATATATAAACAAAAGCTCTAAGAAACAGATAGTAAACAAAGTAAACATTTCTGTCCCCTAATCTTTCTCAAAACAAAAGTTATGCAATTTGCATACTTCTCCATTTAACTCTATTCTGAGCGATTAACGTTAAATAGTTCAAATCACATAAATTATTCAACGATAATTTTCGAACACTAAGGTCTTGTAAAATCAGTGAGAAAAGGTTTGACTGCGGTCTTCCACGCCGCCCTTGAAGCTGTAAGGTGTTAACAGCAAAAACAAGCGACGAATAGGCTGGACCATCTGTAGGCCCACGCAGTACATGTCCGAGCATCCTCCACCGACTACGAGCCACTTTAGCTGACAATGGTTCGCTATTGCAGCGTTTATACAAATTCTTGTTGGAAATGATGTGAGGGTATTTGTTATATATAATTATAAATATATTATAATAAATAATATACTTTAGGTCATCTGCTGACAGTGCTCTGTTGGCTAGCCGAGAGCGGAATACTAAGTGTTTCTACTAGGGTTTATAATGTTTAATATTAAGCGACTGCATGAATAGTGTGATGACGTGTTACTGACCCTGATATCTTGGTATCTGATTAGGTTACTCATTACATATAATGATAGTTGTTGTATCTTGTTATATTCCTATACTAATTGATATTATTTATTAGGGGTTTATGTCTGGAAAGTAAGTGTCTCTCTTGTTCTAGTGTATACACAGCAATAGTCACGTGGGTTAGTCACGTGGGTTACTCACTACATTACTATAAGCTATGCTTGGTGTAGCTCGTTACATATATAATGATTACGACTTAGGTTTAGATTTTTCTAGAAGTTCTTCCTAAATTAACTCAAGTTATGACGTCTGAATATTAGTATTACTATATTATAGTCTATATCCGATATATATGCTTATAATGTAATATTTCTTATGTTATACGTAGGGTTCTCAAACAAGAGGATCAATATATATTATAAGTTAACAATCAATGTCCATTTGAGTTTGTTTGTGATTTAAATCAAGTTGTCTTTTATTTTTAATGTCATTAAAGGCCCATTAGTTCAATAGTTAAGAATGAAATTACTTTAAACTTTTGATTTCCGGTTTTGGAATAGTTATATTCTGTGAACTAAAACAGTGAACAGAACAGTGAACACTGCAGTGGAACACTGTAAATCTCGCGGACGAATATGTGTACTCTCTTAATTGCACGACACATTTCACACAAACTGGTGAACACCTTGTACACACTATACTTCCACCATACTACCAGATGTACATGAAACAAGGTACACACCTTGTACACACTCTACTTCCACCATACTACCAGATGTACATGAAACAAGGTACACACCTTGTACACACTCTACTCCCACCATACTACCAGATGTACATGAAACAAGGTACACACCTTGTACACACTCTACTTCCACCATACTACCAGATGTACATGAAACAAGGTACACACCTTGTACACACTCTACTCCCACCATACTACCAGATGTACATGAAACAAGGTACACACCTTGTACACACTCTACTTCCACCATACTACCAGATGTACATGAAACAAGGTACACACCTTGTACACACTCTACTTCCACCATACTACCAGATGTACATGAAACAAGGTACACACCTTGTACACACTCTACTTCTACCATACTACCAGATGTACATGAAACAAGGTACACACCTTGTACACACTCTACTTCCACCATACTACCAGATGTACATGAAACAAGGTACACACCTTGTACACACTCTACTTCCACCATACTACCAGATGTACATGAAACAAGGTACACACCTTGTACACACTCTACTTCTACCATACTACCAGATGTACATGAAACAAGGTACACACCTTGTACACACTCTACTTCCACCATACTACCAGATGTACTGGTGAACACCTTGTACACACTCTACTTCCACCATTCTACCAGATGTACATGAAACAAGGTACACACCTTGTACCCACTCTACTTCTACCATACTACCAGATGTACTGGTGAACACCTTGTACACACTCTACTTCCACCATACTACCAGATGTACATGAAACAAGGTACACACCTTGTACCCACTCTACTTCCACCATACTACCAGATGTACTGGTGAACACCTTGTACCCACTCTACTTCCACCATACTACCAGATGTACTGGTGAACACCTTGTACACACTCTACTTCCACCATACTACCAGATGTACTGGTGAACACCTTGTACACACTCTACTTCCACCATTCTACCAGATGTACATGAAACAAGGTACACACCTTGTACCCACTCTACTTCTACCATTCTACCAGATGTACATGAAACAAGGTACACACCTTGTACCCACTCTACTTCTACCATACTACCAGATGTACTGGTGAACACCTTGTACACACTCTACTTCCACCATACTACCAGATGTACATGAAACAAGGTACACACCTTGTACCCACTCTACTTCCACCATACTACCAGATGTACTGGTGAACACCTTGTACACACTCTACTTCCACCATACTACCAGATGTACTGGTGAACACCTTGTACACACTCTACTTCCACCATACTACCAGATGTACTGGTGAACACCTTGTACACACTCTACTTCCACCATACTACCAGATGTACATGAAACAAGGTACACCTTGTACACACTCTACTTTCACCATACTACCAGATGTACTTGAAACAAGGTGTAATTTGTAGACAGAGCACCTAGTTACCAACCACCACAGAAAAATGTAATTAGCACCAGATCTGGAGTAGTTACAATTAAGAGAACAGTTAATGGTTCCTGTTATATTTCATAACATTATTTAACATTAACTACATAGAGGTATGTAGGTAATGATAAAGCGCTTACTGTCTCGGGAGTACAGTAAATGTAAGATAAACTGTAGCACACTGCACACTGCACACTGCACACTACACACTGTACACTGCACACTGCACACTGCACACTGGTCACTGCACACTGCACACTGCACACTGCACACTGGTCACTGCACACTGCACACTGCACACTGTACAGAAAATTATAGCTGAATCACTTCAAAGTTAAATGCATATAACAATGGAAAAGTAATTCCTTAGGCAAACAATAATCACTAAAACTAAGAGACCAACAAAAATTACTCCACATTATAACAAAGATTTCTTTTAATCAGCGAGCAAAACGTTAAACTTAAGTTTGTATGAATCCAAATA